CCAGCATCACTGGCACCTGTTCCTATTGTAGGCAATCCATAGCCGACGTAGATTCAAGCTCAGTATACTCCAGAGGTAGCTAGAGCGTTGAGGCTCTCATTACAGCTACGGAGTTGATTATCTGACAAAGATTTGCAAGAACTACTAAAACGTTATGGAATCAAACCGGTCCCTACAACAGCAGTCAAGAATCCTCAAGCTAATTATGTAGAACAAATCCACCAAACGCTCGGAAACATGCTCTGCACAAACAAATTGGAGGAATTCAACTTCAATTATAATGATCCTTGGACCCAAATCTTAAGCAACTGCGCTTGGGCTATTCGCTCCACTGTCCACACTGTCATGGAAGCGAAACCCGCTCAACTAGTCTTCGGTCGTGATATGCTTTTTGACCTCTCATTTACAATGAGATGGCGCGATATTAAAAGCAAACATCAACAATCTGCAAATAAAAATAAAACTCCAAACGCCAGCCACACAAATACCGTGTGGGTGATTTGGTCCTCCTTGATAGCGGCGAATTGCAACAAAAACTCCTGCCCAAACAAACAGGTCCATATCAAGTACTCCATGTCTACGACAATGGCACAATCAAACTACGAAGTGGCTTCTATGCACAACGCGTTAGTCTCCAACAATGCGTTCCTTACTATACCCCCATCAACGCTGAATTCCACCATGGAAGCGAATGACGTACTCTCTACAGACCGTTGGTCATCTGGCCAGACTTCCAACGTACTCCCAGCAGACGCTGCATCTTACGCTCTTTTCAACAGACACTTTTGTTATACTCCCATCGGTTACTCAATATTCCAGACCTAACTATTATTGGCCCTTCTAAGTACTCTGATCAGTACTAAATATTTCAGCACCGTTACTGAATATTTCAGGCCAAAGGAACACATCCCTTGGCCAAACCAAGACTAGATAGCGCACCTAAAAAACCATTATTCTAATGCTAACACTTTCATTATCAACTGATATCAAATTCCTTTGATCTAGGTTAAGCCTTTCGTGTTGTCGACGTGGTGGGTTGGACTGTCCGCCACACCACACCACACCACTCCACATCACACATCACCATCCGTTCCCCATTCTTCCCTTTCTCCAATAGACCAACGATCGATACACAATAAAAATACTACAAAATACAAATCTTGCAAAACTGTATCTCTTTTCGCTCCCTGACACTGGAACTGAAGCGTTCGGTCATGAAAGTAGATGATTGTTACTTTGCAGTTCTTGGAACAACCTTATTGATTCAGAGCTTAGCATTCACTTTCAATCCAGGAAGATTTTTCAGACACAACCGTTACTCGTCCATTGCAATGACATCATCCACCGAACTGAAAGCTCTATCGGCAGAATCTTCTCCGCTTCTGATTTCATTACGTGACAAGCTCTGTGCTGATAATAATGCTATCAAAGAAGGAAAGAAAGCATGCTTAGTATTGGCAAGTCAATCGCCAAGGCGACGGTAAGTCAACCTGACTGAGGACCAGGACGGTTAAGTTCGTATGTTGTAGCTGAATGTAACCTTTGGTATCGCCTTAGTGAGATCCTTGATATGATGGGCTTGGCTGGATCATATTCGTGTTAACCACCCCCACTGGACGAATCTTCTTTGCAAAAAGAGCTGGTACAACAAGATTTGCACCCGACCGTTTACAGGAAAAAGCTAGCAGAGGCCAAGGCTCATTCTTTGGCCGCCGAACATGCAGGAAAAGAGCGAAACACAAATATTCCAGTCTTTTACTTGGGGAGTGACACTGTTGTCGATATTGATGACAAGATTTTGGAAAAACCAAAGAATGAAGAAGAAGCCAAGCAAATGCTGCTTAAATTGAGTGGTCAAGAGGTCAGTTCTTGTTGTCATTGCTTTGATACATTGCAAGGAAACAGAGAGCATAGGCTCATTTTACCCCCTGAAGCACCAAGTCCACACTGGAGTCGCACTCTATCGGCTTTCTTCCAGCTGTGAAATTTCCCTATTGTCTTCGTTCACAGAGAGCGCTCATATTACCTTTTGCAACTTGAGTGATGCTGACATTGATGCGTATATTGCCTCTGGGGAACCGATGGACAAGGCAGGCAGTTACGGGATACAAGGTATTGGCGGCCAAATGGTGCAAAGCATCGCAGGAGACTTCTATACTGTGATGGGATTGCCCATGCATCAAACCAGCAAACACTTGGCCAGAGCTCTGATGGATGAATAGGACAGGTAACAAACGGATTACTTAAAAACTGGAGAGGAGAGAGTGAAGAGTTTGGACTAAGTCCGGAATCCCGATTGCTTGGTGATAAACGCGAAATATAGATCAATTACATAACCAGTCCATTGAATACCTTGGCTGGCTTTCCTTCATCTTCGAAAATTTCAAGAACCTTGTTAGAGGATTTTGGGTCGTTCAAGCAAGCAATGCTAACATCAGCGACCAAGTCTCTCGAAATTTCTCCACTATTGAGTGTGTTCTCAGGATTGATGGACAATTCTCCTGTTGGGGCCTTCGCCTTCAATCCTCCTGGTCTAACAATTGTGTAGTCCAATCCACTGGCTCGGAGAAACTTTTCGGAGACAAGCTTTTCGTCGAGTGCTCCACCGAAGGCATTGGTAGCAACAAAACCAGGGGAGTTCTCTTGTCCCCACGCCCTGCCATCTGTTAAAATGGAGGAAACCATGACAACCTTTTTGACTCCGGCATTCTTGGCGGCGGAGATATGCTTGCAAGTTCCAACATTCTCAACTTCATGTGCGGCAGCAGACATTCTTAGAAGGTTCTTGCCTGGATTCATGCCACATGCGATAATGAGCCCTAAAATAAGGATTTGATAGATCAAGAGTCAAATAGAAGTCTTCAACACAGACTATTCACTGCAAAAATTTCATCTTACCATCAGCTCCCTTGAGGGTTTCGGTCAGGCTATCAATAGAGTCCTCAACGACGTCTAATTGTTTCAGGTTTCCTTGCAAGGACTTGCTGGCTCTGGTTTCTTCTTCAGCAATTCCCAATTTGTTGGAATATTGAGCTCTCAGTAGACGTACTGACGCACAGGCGCCTTCACTACTCCGCTAGCTGGGACTCCAGTCACGACTGGAGATCAATGCTCTAGCTCTCTTCGAATTTCACTAGCTTTCTTAGAAATTCGATGCAGCAACTCTTTCCAAGTATTATCAAGTAGT